CAGCAGCCGCGGCAGCCGCGGCAGCAGCAGCAGCAGCGGCAGCAGCAGCAGCAGCAGAGTAGTAGTAGTAGTAGTAGTAGCAGTAGTAGTAGTAGTAGCAGTAGTAGTAGTAGTAGCAGCAGCAGCAGCACTAGGTATCTCACTCACTCGGTGCTGGAGAATGCGTTGCGTTTGCGGTCTTGGAGCGTCCATCCATGCCTCGAGCATCGTGTCCCAACTGCATACGGTGACCAGAGCACGCATGGCCAACACATAATTCAAGCGCGTGTTCCACACGCACACTCTTACCAGAACATCCATGCTCAAAAAATAGTAGCATTCGTGTTCTAAGAGCATACGGTCAAAGCATAATGGCATTTCAAATGCATACGCTTGCCAAAGCACAGTCTAGGCTTAGTCTCACATGGGTGGGCTCTGCAACATTTTTCTCGCAGTATGCAAATAGTATGGGCTCTGTAGTTTATGGGTGTGGCCGTTTACTACCCTCAAAGATTTGTCCATAGAACGGGCTTTCTATTACACGGGTTGGTATCTTTAAAGTTTTGCCTTTTAATATGCTCGCTGTATTTAGCTTGTGTTGTATAAGTAGTTTTCGCAGTATGGGCTGACTACTGTGAGCATGGGGCTGTCAAAGATTTGTCTCATAGGATGGGTTTAGTGTTGTATGCATGGGTTTGTTTATCACCTTCAAATATTTTTCTCTCAGCTTGAGCTTAGTATTATACAGGTGAGTCCCCCTATTGCCCTCACAAAGAATACATGCTTAGTGTAACGTCTGGTCAGTGCAAACCTATTTACATGAACGCAAAAAAAATCTTTGTCCGCCCGAACTTCTGGAAAACGCGTTTTAGCCCAGCACCGAGTGGGCGTGTAGTAGTAGCAGTAGTATTCGTAGTAGAACTAACTAAAGCAATCAAGGAATTAGTCATAAATGTGGCAAAAAAATAGACAATGAAACTTGACAACGAAATAGTTGTCACGAGCATCACATGCGAACATAAGATTGTTTGTACTAGCGCTTGGAGAGGTGAAGGTTGTTGCGTCTCGGCCGATTTTCAGGACGCTGCTCAATGCCCATGTTTTGACAGGCTCCCCAACATCTATCCATCCTCGAGCTTGATGCGCGCTGCAACTCTCTCTGGAAAGTGTAAGGAGTAGAAGTCCATGCGCATGGATATCACTGAGAATTTTGAGCTTTGTGGAAATGCTTCTGCCATCCGCGCAATGCCAGTATGAGCCGCTTGGAAAAAAGCGTGCTATTTGTGGTAGGTCCGCAGCAATTGAGTAGTGTTTTTTGGTGGTTAAACCTAGTAAGATTATATTCCTTTTATAAAATACTATACCCCAAAAGGAGGATATAATCTTACTCTATATTGGGTACCATAGTATCCCTAAATAAAATACTGCTCAATTGACTTTTTTGTGACGTCTGCCCGGATGGGTGGAAAAGCCCAGAGCAGAATTCCGCAGCTGGCCTTTCTGCGGATTGTGCTTGGGTAGACATGATGCGGGCGTGACCAAGTCGATGCCATTTTGCAGACAGCGCATGAGTGGGTATGACTGTCCACAGCCCCAAGGCCATATATGCGTATTTGGACCCTGGGGCTTGTTCGTTGCAAATATTGAGCTTGCTACGCAACAGCAAGATATCGAAAGCACATCTCTTGATGCTTGGTCTTGGACAAACTGTGACTTATTTGCAGACGAAGCGTGTTGTTTTCCAGCCTTTGCCATCATGCAAGCTTCTTGGCCTCCAGGCTATGCCTAACCCAGTAGCAGCACACAGTCACAATCAGCGGAGTCGTTCCCACATAAAGGCTGCAAAGCTGCAAGCCCGTGGCACCACCGGAGTGGCGAATCAGATTTGTATACCACACAAGCACCGCGAACCAAGCCACGTAAGGAATGACAAGGACCGATCTTGGTGCACAAGAAACCGTAGGCAGAGTGTCCCACTGCACGAAGACCCCGTAGCAAATTGACATGAGCACAATCCATCCAACGTAGTTTCTGGGATCCACACCCAGCATGCAGTAGCCGGGGTCCTCTTGGCAAGCAGTATATCGATACAACCTAGCTGCAAGCCAGGCGGGTTCAGCAGCTGCATCCAAAAGGGTTGCGAAGACGGCACCAAGGACTGCTCTTGGTGCTTGGGGCGCCTTGCTCAGACCCGCGCCCAGGCATGAGTCGGCCATGAGAAGGGAAAGATAAACGTGCCACTGCAGAGCAACAGGCTGCTGGGCTGGCATGGAGCCAAGCATTGGCACCTGCATCCTTTCTGGATCCCAAGGATGATCTCCGAATATCACACCGCCAAGCATGGCATCCAGATTCTCAGCTGCAAACCAGGACACACTTGAGCATGTGAGCAGCTTCAAAGGGGATGCCCAAGAACCTGAGTGTCGGCGGTGCAGCAGCAGGCTGAAAAGAAATCCACCCATTGACAGAGCCAGCTGGTAGACTACCTGAGGCTCAGCAAGTGTGCTCGGCATCGTGTCGATGGCATGATTGAGGCAGCAGCCAATGCTGGCAACAATGCCGAAGCACACAGCCAGCAGGTCCAGTCCAGAGAAGGTTGCCATGGAAACTTTTGACAGTGTCACGGATAACTCCCGGATAACCTTCAGGTTACAGATCTGTTACACCCTGAATCATAACATCACATGCAGGAGGTTTCGACAGATGAGACTATGCTGTGTCCAAATGCCTAGCGGGGAATTCTAGCCAAAACTTTCACACCGACAGCGAGTGTCGCCATCCATGCAACCCTCGTATTCGAACGTTAGCGGGCGACATTGTGCTACCTAGCCCGCAGACATCTGACGGACTGGTAGGTAGAATGTCACCCAGCTTTGACTACTCACCCTCCTACTTCAGTGACGTTTGCCAGCCAAACAAAAACAAGCCAAGAACTGTATCCAAACGTCTTTCTTTCCTGTGAGCTCTTAGAAAAATCTTTCAAAGCAATCCGGACACGTGGCAATTGGCACAACTTTCAGCCAAAGCCAGGAGTCCAGGACCATGGAGGGGGTCTCCAACATTGCACGTAGGAGCACACATTATGCGAAGGTTGATGGCTAAGTGACAACTCCCACCGTGGCCTCAGAAAGGGTCCCCTGTTGGGTGAAAACCCAAAAGCTCTCTTGTGAATATCCGAGGTCTTTGCCTTGGAGATCTCTGTCACTGAATCATGACTAGCTTCAGCTAAAAACCTGAATAAACATGCCGAAGCACCTCGGCCTTTCTAGTCTTGAGCTGTCGCTGCATCAGACTCTCGCAATCGCACCGTTGAGGAATACCAGACCTGACAGATTAGCACCTCTTGGCTTGTGGCTTTCAATACTGGGGACTGAAAGTTGAGGTTTGCACAGGCGAGGCGGGTATCTCTGAAAAAGGGATGTACTCAAGCACCCCAAGACCAATTACCTCCCCACTCCCCAGCCTTTGGCTCAAACTTCTCAGCCCGGCCATCTCCAAAGGCTTCTGGTAAGCTCCCTCCAACTACAGTCGCGCCTGCCAGGCCAGTCCCTGCTGTCACTCGGAAGAAGTTCCTCTGCTGCGCATAACCCCGCGTGCAATCACGAGAGTCTTGCGTTCGGAATTTGTCCGGGCAGGCAAGCACAAACTCAAATAAGATATCCGGAGAGACCATAAATCTTGCCAACCACGCTGATTCCCTTGAAAAACGGCTTAAGTGTGCCCAGCTTCTCCCTGACCATCGCTCCAAGGTCGCCCGGCAATGTCCTTTGCCACACGTGACTGAGCCGAAGAAGGCTTGTTTCAAAGAGCAGCCGCGTGGTAATGATAAACATCAGCTTGTCATGTTGTTTGCCTTTGATGATTGAGCTTGTCTTTGGGAAAGGAATGCCAGTTGGTGTGCGCGCGTCATGATTGCGACGTGTTGCAACATCACATCTGGGCTTGGTGGCTTGCTGTTTAGTAGGAAGAAAGTGCAGCTATGCCTTTGTGAAACTCCCAACCTGCAGCTGGCCAGATTCTGCTCAGACACCCAACCAAGCCCCCATTCCGATTGCCAAAAAGAAAATCGTTCCCAACCAAACCCAACTTGTGCCTGTTGAACGGTGAACGCAGTTGTGGATGTGCCTTTCACCGTAGCTTGTACTACTCAGCACATGGAAGAATAGAACCGCGCACAGAGCAGGAAATCTTGCTTTGACTTGTCTTCTGCCCATGTGGAGTGATAGGAAAATCCCCTGCAAGATGAAGCTGCAGGCAGGTTTTGCCGAAGCTGACGGAGGTTGCTCTGCCTCTGCAAGCTGGCCCTTTGTGAAAAGGATGAAGAACTCACAGCTCATTCTTGTGGGCATGGTTTAAATCAAGCGGCTCAACCTGGCCAAGGAAGCCACTTTCGATGCCAAGCACAGCCTCAGTCTGCGTGCGGCTCCTAATTGACTCAGCTTCATATGATTCGTCTGCGCGACGCAGGAGGCTTCGTCTCTTGCATTCACTCCAGACTCCAAACCATGGAGGAAACTTTCTGCTCCTGGAGGCCTGACACACTAAATCCTGCGATCGATACCAAGGGGCCACTGGAGGCAAGCGTTGTGCCGTGTAACCAAGCCTGGGCTGTTCCACCCTCCTGCCTGCTACGGGTGCTCGCTCCTAAAGTTACCAAGTTATCCGTGTGCTGCTACCTGACAAAAGACTGGCAAACAGAACCTTATTTATGGCATGGAAAGCATCTACAGCCCCCTGGGTCATCCCCGAGCACAGAAGCATCAAAGCACACGCCCAGAAGCAAGGCTGTTTCCAGTGAGCCTCCCGACGCCTCTTTAGCAAAGTTGACGCGGCGCAGCCATCCTCATTCAGGTCTGGGATCTAGCACCGTTGAATTGTCAAAGCTTGCGGGTTGGGGAAACGGAGTCTCTGGATTAAACACAAACTGGCTCGAGTTCAGGACGGCAAAGCTTGAGACAAAGCTTCAGAGGGTAGGTTGTGGGACATGCTCAGGTTGCTGTCTTGCTGACCTTCAAAGCATTGCTGATAATCCGCACGCCATGAATCCACGCACGTTGAAAATGCCCTGCAAAAGCAGCCCACTCTTCTGCGTCCAGGGTGCGTGCCAAGCAGACAGCATCCTGGATGGCCTGGCGGTGCAGGGCTCTGTACTTCAGCTCCAGGCTTGGTGCATGCTTGCGAGCAGCACTTCATCCAAATCCTCTTGAGTATACCTCTTCCATCCCACAAAGATCCACAAAGCAGTACAAAGCGTCCAGGCCTGGTTTGCACCCTGGCCCAGGAAGGGCGGCCTGAGGTGTGCAGTTGTCATAATGATGCCAGCAGCTCCGGGGGCAACAGCTGGGAACACGTACACACTTACCTCATCTGACCTCTACATACTCTACAAAGCTGCGAAGAGGATTAGGATCTGTTGTGGTGTCCACATACCTGAAGGAATAAAATCCAAGGCCTAGCCACACGTGACCCCTGCATAGACCTTCATGCCAGCGAAAAGCCTGATCATTGAAAATTCAAATGCCCAGGAACATCGCGTGCGCGGAGTCGCCTAGAAGAACCACCCGGTCGCGGTGCCAGCGATTCAGACCCACAGGCCTGCGGAGCGTCTGGGCCCGAGAGGAATTCAAGATGACAAGACAAGACATCCACCAAAGCTTGAGGCCATCCCTGCGCTTCGATTGTACTCAGTAGTCAGGCTGAAATACATTTACTCCATAGCCCTCCGCGCGAACACCCAAAGCTCCCTGGCCCTGACCAGGCTCCCAACCGGTCACAGATGTTAATCACAATGCTTTGATCTAGGGGAGCTGGTAACCACAAATGCACATGACATTCACAAGTACACGGAGATGCAAAAGAAACTCATAGGAGCCATTGTCTAAAGTCCTAGTATCCTCCTTAAAACGCCCTTTGGTAGTCCCCTATATAATCCCTTATATAACTCACCTGAAGGAGTTTAGACTATATATAACACGGAATTCTCGAGACCGACTTTGCAGAAACTGGACCTCTCGAAGACACCCAGCTCAAAGAATCGCTCGCAACCCGCGGCAACCTGGCAAGATGGTAGCAAGATGTACTAACAAATGAGATGATGCCGCATAACGTACTAACAGAGAGAAGCGTCATGTAAACCATGATGGCAATGCCAGAAGTCATCACCGGTCTGTGTTTGTGGCAATAATAGGGTGACGATTATATTACTATCAGCACGAGAATGATGCCCAGACTCGCGCTTTGGGTAAGACTGACGACAATAAGAACGACGCACCAGCGTCTGTCCCTACCATGCTTGTGTGTTGTGTGCAGCAAGACTCACTGCGTCATGCGGTGGCATGGTCTACATGCAATGTACAAGTCTAGAGGATGAGCTTATTTTTTCCCTGCCTTGCCTGCAGCACCTCTTCAGGCTGTCCCGCAGATCTTAACCTTTCGAGGCAGCTGTCCTGACAGGATCAAACTGCAGGTTTGAAATCCTGGGTGTGGAGCACTCTGAACATTCTACAAGCCGTGGGATCCACAGGTTGGTCTCCTTGATCTCCGCTGGATCCCAGTCAGCATTCTCGGCAACCGGAGCCTCCTCTGGTAGGGACCCTTGCTTCATCACTCTGATGCCCACCCGGCTCACAACATCGCTATCGTTATTCGTGTATGCCAAGCTTTCATCAGAATAAAGCCAGAACGTTGAACTATGTAACCCAATTCTGGGCCCTTCCTTCACCATACCAAGCTCCACACCCACAGCATAGGTACAAAAGTTCTTGAATCCTCGCGAAACACGACCGCCATCATCTCGAAGCGCTTCCCACCAATGCCACCATATGTGGCAGTAAGAGCATAGACACCTGCAGCACACACTGCACACTGGGCGAAGATGGTTGTGATCATTGCTACTACTGAGTAGTAGCAATGATAACTACTTACTCTGCTACTATGGATAGCAACAGAACCAGGATTCGGCGTGGTACACATGAGCGCAACTCAGGCTTCAGCTGATGGGGTTGTGTCAGGCTTCGGGCATCATGGTGAGTCTTCGGGTCAGGGTGCGGACCCTTGAAAGTCAACCTGTCTGAGCGAATCTAAGTCATCTGTGCCCCCTATCTAACATGAAAGCACCCCTCAATTTTCATTTCTAATGAGGGAAGCGAAGTAACCAGCTGACTAAGAATCATCGAAGAATGTGGAGACACACTTCAACCAGGCTCATGGATGATGATTCAGCCGAAAGCGTATTTGTTTGGATCCCAAACCAAGCCTTGTTCCATCTTACCACGAGATGGCTCACAGCCCCCTTGCAAGTTGAAAGACCACAAGCACCGTCAAGCCGCTGCTGCCCGAGACCTCCAGGCTTCTCTCAACAACCTCAAAGACATGTGGTAGACCAAGGAACCTGCGGACCAAGTCAGGACCTATGCCACTTCTTCCAGCGAAAGCTCCAGGACCCAAATCACAACAAACCTTACTCCTTACGCCCTGCGGCCCAAAAGCCAGAATGCTAAATCCAAAGCTGAAGCAGCAGACATTCAGAACATCCCTGAGCTGCCTTGACCAAACCATTGGTGAACCTCCTCCTCACACCCAGCAGGTCGTCCACCAGCTTCCCGCACGCCGTACTGTATCCGAAGACCTGCACGGTAAACAGTCAAGGATGAGCAAAGGAAAATGAAGACGTTGGGCTGTTGGGAGTAGGATTCAGCGGCGAGGCTTCAGGGGTTGCCACGGCCTGTATAGCGAGGCTCCTCCTCCTGACCCTCCTCCCCAAATACAAAGCTGCGAGCACGTGTGCCGATGCCGTCTGCGGCCACGACCAAGTCAAACTCCTGCTCACCAATTTCTACTAAAACTTCATCGCGCGACTACAACCAAAGTTGGGAGGTTTAGGTTGAAGTCCGTTGCTGTACAATGGACGAGTACCGTATAGATCCAAATAGCCGGAATGTGCTTGCAACGCAGAAGCTTTTAAAGCCACTTCAAGATATATAGCAGCCAAGAACATCAAAAACCGTGCTCGTGCCTCCTGCCCAGAGTCAAAGCGACATGTCCTAAGTGCCAACCCAGCCCTTGTTGGGCTGCTAGGTTTGACATCACCCCTCGTTGCTTCACATAGTTGGGTTGAGGTGAACCTATAATCGCTTTTGGGGGAGGGGGGCCAAATTACCCAACCTATGTGAAGTCTCCAAATTTCATGCCACTTCCCTTCAACTCAGGTCCGAACGGAAACTCATGTACACGTTTCATCTGAGTAAATGTGCAGTGGATATTGGCATGGTAGTTGGTGAAGCTGCTCGTTGGCAGGATTGCCAGGGCAAAACTTGCAGGATAATATCATGTGAGTTGAGCGCACACAAAAGGCAAAGCAGCGGTGAATGCATGGAATAAAGTTGAAATTTGCTGGAAGGGGGCTCTAATCATGTTAGGTTATGTTTGACCCTTGTTTGCTGCGAAACTTACAGCCGCTACCTGGCACATCGCTCTTGGGGTAATGATGGCAACAGCCTAGATGATCAACACTTCGGGCCCATCCTCTCCGTCGATGGTATATTGGCCTTTGATTGGCACTCTCTTGCTTTGGAGATTGTTTTTCCTTCCCCGGTGGCATGTTTAGCGTTGGATGCCTCGCCAATATGGTCCAGTCTTACACCTTGTGGGAGTTGCTTATTGGTTACTATACACTAGATATTCAGCTACCCTATCACTGCTGGCTCCCTTCCCATTTCGGCATTGGACCTGTAGAACCGTCCATTGCTGGCGCTTCATGCTCTGCAGCCTGCCTCTTCAACAATGATTTCCTGCAGCATCCTGATAATCGGCTTTCGCAACTCTGGATGTGATCGAAGCTGGTGTAAAGTGAGGAGCGTGTCCTTTAAGGAGCCGCCCCCTAAGTTCCAAGCTGCCACTGTTGTTAAAAGTGTTTCTGCACTCTGCGCTTTGGCTTTCGTTACTGTAGGGGCGTTTGCCGGAGAGTGTTTCAGGCCGTGGATATCACGTCCTTGGTCTTCATGGTGTGATTTCCCGCTGCTTCCGCATCCAGCCATGCCGGGGGGGACCTTGCCACTGCGTGTCCAGAGGGTGTTGGTGCTGTTGCACTTGCTACTTTGCCTCGTTGGTACCAAGCCGTGCCAGTGGCAAATTCCCCCGCTTGCTTGCCCCTTGTTCAAGAAGTACACGCTTGACGTTGCCTGGAAAACGTGTTTTGCGTCGTCTTTCTGGTGTTTGTGAAAAGCCTAACCACAAGTGTTTGGGTTGCCCATTTGGTGTCACGGCTCCCTGTGGGTTGGCTAGCTTGCCTCACTTGCTGGATTGCCTGGGTGAGTCTGGAGATCATGGTGGGTTCGCTCTCATTGTCTTTGGGCTTGTAAGGGATGACCAGGTATCCACGCCGAGGGCCAGGGACAAAGGCATCCTGCATGTCAATGTCCAGTTGGAGTTGCTGATGCGTCCTTGGCCAGGTGCATTGTGGTGGCTGCATCCTGATCATCGGCCCACCCTCCCATAATAAGGGCTGGCTGCCTGCCCTTTGTGGTGGTGGAGTTGGCTCTTGAGGGGATAGGCTGTGATTGCAATTTCTCCAACCTTTGCCTGATGTCCTGGAAAGCGTCCTAATTGGCTGTGTCCTTTTCTGGAGGTTGGTGAGGTCTGTAGAATGTTGGGACTGTGTATTGGTAATGGCCGTGAGGAGTAGGTTGACCTGTTCTTTCATTCTGTCCGTGAATGCTGTCTCCACCGGCATGATCCTTGTCTCCACTATTCCCACATGTGCAATCAGGGGGCTGTATTGCGCTCAGGAACATTTCCAAGGTGAGTGGGGTGCCTTCTGATGTGCCATGGCTGGGACTGGGGCAGTGTCTTTTGGTCCCAGAACTGTCCGCATAGGCATTGAAGGCGTTGGCCTGTATGGTGTCCTTGCCAAAGTCACGATCTGGTAGTCAGAATCTGCAGTCTCCCAGTGTATTGGATGGTCAGGGGGTCAACATGGTGGTTGGCGAGCACTGAGTGGTACGGCTGTAGTGCAGCAATTGACACCGTGCGGGACCGATCAGGTACAGGTTGGTGGCCACAAGGTCGGTAATGAAGTCGCGTAGTGCAGCAAGAATTGTTGTGGACTACCCAGGGAGAACCGAATGCCAGACGTTCCATCTCTACAGCCCACGTTTGCACCAAAGTCAGGGGGAGAGACTACCTGCAGGCTCACGGAGCGTGCAAGGGGGCTTGATGTGGTAGCGGCTTGAGCCAGAATGGCTACTTTGTTCTGTCCGTCTCTCTCAGAAGCTCTCCAGCTATTGCGAAGAAGCTGTGGAGTCGCGACTTCAAGAGTCTCATTATCTTCGCTGCGAATTGCACAAATTTAATTTAAACAAAAAAATTGCTTCCAAGTTCCACTCAACTCGATCTTCAGAAGCTAAACAACTTCTCGAAACCCCAAAAGGGCTCAAATGTCCAAAACTTCAAACCGCACCACTCAGAAACATAAGATCAAAAAGGGCGCCAAGCTTCGCACTTTGTCCCTGTGCGCCGGTCTGCACCTCCAGCAGCTTAGTGCTCAGGCGGATACCTCCGTTCCATGCGTGCTGCTTTTTGTTGATGTCGAGGGTCCGTGAAACGTAGTTAGAAAAGTGCAACACCTCATTGAAACTTCGGCGCTACAATTGGGATGTGATCCTTTCTGCAAAGCCATCAAGCATCCTTGCATGCTTTGCAGTTTTTTGCCCCTACTGGTCATGTGAAATGTTGAAAAGGACACCTACAAATGTGTGCCTCTGTTGTCTTGACTTTCTTGCGGGTCATTCAGGGTTGCGGCTTAGTCGCCACAGCTCCAGTTGCATTGTCAGGTATGGCATGTGTCTAACAACTTCCAAACCTCAGAACATCTCCAAACCCTGAAAGTCTGACTCAGAGATGAGGAGCTGTCATCAGGCAAAGCACCAGCCATGGCTTCCAGCAGGGCATCACGCATGACCTTGAAACCAGACAACACGAAACTGAGAGAATCAGGTGGTGCTAGACGTCAAGCCAATAACCCTGAGACTGTCCAGACTTCGGCCATAGATCACCATGTCCCATGCCCCAGAGCCAAGGTTTTGGCAGCACTGTTTGCTGTGCAATTGGTATTCTTTCAAAGTAGTGCTACTCCGCAGATTTGGACAATTTATGATGCATGATAGTCATGATGCAGGAAGAGGGGATTGAAATCAAGCGAAACGATGACATGCTGGGTGCATTCGCGGGGCCGTACAACTCGCAGGCTGGCCGTCCGCTCGCCGAACCGAACCCGACAAGGGCTGGAAGTTGTCCTGAATGGCAAAAACGATTCGGGGGAGGAAAAATGGTCACAATGGCAAGAGAAGCATAGCAGAAGCAACAAATGTAAGAGTAGAGTAAACTCAAGCGAGAACACGGTGATCTGATGCAGTAGTTTGGCCCGAGTGCTGGCTTCCAACGCGCAGTTTTTTTGCTGTCTGACAGACCAGGACGCATCCCACCCGTGTTCCTGTGAGCCCCGCCCCTCTGACCACGTCGCACGCATCACTCCCACTTCCCGCTTGTCTCTGGGCTCTCCGCATGTCGCATTTCTCCCTGCGTGGCAAGAATCAGTTGGATGACCGTTGTCTGCAGCAGGTGTCTTCCCAACACCGGAACAGGAACAGGGAAGGAACAGAGGACAGGAGTATCTAGCCCACGTGTTGAACACAGGCAGCCCGAGTATTGAACACGCAGGGTCCGCACCACAAACCTTGGAGCACCGCCACTGCTCTACCCAAAAACCCTAAGCTCTAATCCTTCCTGCCCGGTTCTTTCTGCCACTGTTCCTGCCTGTGACACCCCTTCTTCTCCAGGTCTCGCGCATCGTTGTGCCGCACTCCCTGCATCCGGGATGTCCGTGGCAAATCAAAGCTTTTCCAAATGCCGAAACCTGCGCAGTTCGTAAAGTCCAGAGTTTCGGTTGCTGAGCGTGTACTGGACTAAGCTCAACCACTGGACAGATAAGTTGTCCTGCAGGTAAGGACTGGTCGCCGAACCCGAGTCACGTGTGATAGGATGCTTTGATCATCGCAAGTTCCAGAATCCCGGAAGGACTTCTTGAATCATTTTCGCCACGATGCAAATACGACCTTCTAACATGAACACGGTCCGCTGTGCATGCAAAACGCATGGGATCTTGGAACGTCAAGAACACAAGACCATCATAGGAATGACAGTAGATGTTTGCCAGAGCTCCAGTAGGCTGGGCAGATCCAGCTGCAGCAGGTCTGCACCACTTGCAGAGCGGCTCCTCAACAGGTGCATAGGTCCAGGGCCACCCCTTCGCCCAGAGTTATCTGCCCCCGGACCCTGCCTTATGTCTTAGCAAGAGGTCCTGATTCGCCGCAGCGGCTGTGCAAAGCTCAGATCAACACCCAGCTCTTCCTCAGAGTGTCCATTGCTATAGGCTCTAAAAGGATCCAAAAGCATTCATCATCTCAAGATGTGCTTGATTTCCACTTCAAGGGACTATGTTCCTGAATGGGATATGATGAGCCACTAGTGGTTTGCTGAACTCCTTATCGTTCCTCCCTGGAGCGCCTCGAAAGTGCAGCATAAAGGATACGCAGGAGCTTGTGCTTCAGAGTTTGGTTTCTTGAGCACCCTGCGTGGGGATTCACGCAGCGATGGACAGCACTCAGGTGCTCAACTCCGTTGTGGAGCCTGCTAAACATTAGCATTGGCCTTGCCGAGCTGCCAACAGGGATGCGCCTGAGTGCAGCTGCACACCACCGCCCACACCAGGCCTCTCAACGCTTGCAAGGGGAACATTGCAGATCTTCGACACCAAATCTTTGCATCTTGACCTTTGGCTTTGGGGACTTTAGAACATTCTGGGACAAATTGTTGCACCTGCCTCAACTCTGGTGCCCTCTCCAGAACAGTCACGTCCTGGAGCCCAGCTTCCTTGCGCAGTGCCAGAGCAGTTGCCAGCCCAGCGGGGCCCGCACCAACCACTGCCACACGCGGCCCAGAGGTTCCAGAAGACGCGTAGCGCTGGCATCGTGGACGGTGCTTGTGCCGCAGAGCTGGCAGCAGGCATGCCGCTGTAAAGAAGGATGCTGCCGAGGAGGCAGCCGCACGGCCCGCGGGGCGCCTGGCAGTGGAGGGTGGGTGGCCCGAGCAGGCAGCCTTGTCTGGGCCAAAGGCGCAACCGCGAGCGATAAAAGGAGTGGGCGCCACGGAAGCCATGCTTGGCTTGGGAGGATGGTTCTGCAAACTACCGTTAAACACCATAATGTTCTACATGTCCTGCAAGCGCTGCAGTACAGGCTCTAGATTAGTGATCTCCTGGCAACGCCTGGTCATATGCGTAGCGGGTCCAGGGCCCCAAGTCCTGACACAGCACTTTGAGGCTTGAGCTTGAGGACTTGGGCTTGAAAACAACCATCTGCAGCCATGCTAATGCAATCCGGCATGAGAACCTGAGTAAGTAGGGGAGCGTGTTGTCGTTGGACCCTTCCGTCCATCCGTATTTCGGCATCCAAGAGAAGCACCACACAAGCAATAGCCTTCTACAATAGACCGTAGCCTGCAACCTGATGAGTCGTCTTTGTGCATTTTGCGCCTGCACGGCTACTAGGACCCCAGAGATCTTCGGGGTATCGGCCTTAGGCATTCAGATTGGGCAGCGAGATGGATGTATGTTGTGGGTAAGTGGTCGGTACACCACAGCGATCTCTGAAGTCTGCACGGCGATCCTTTGGATCACCGCGAGGCTGATGCTTTTTCAATGCACTGCAGCTGCCTGAGAGAACAGAGGTTGCACACACTGAGCTACACAAGGAGGATGATTTAAAGCTTAGCCAGACAGACGCAGCGCTTCACAGGTCCACTTTGGTCCGTTGCTGCTGCAGGATTCGGGAGAGAATCCCGAATTACCAAGACTGCTTAAAAACACACGCGAGTGGACCTGCATTTGCTTGAACGCCTTGACATCGACAGCTTCCCCAAAAGCCTGACCTGCACTTGGCCAGGCATGTAGGCATCCAAACAATGCACTGGCATGTCATTGATTGTTGGAGAAGCTCCGTGTCAAGGTGAGGTCTACGTTTGGAACCATGCCGACTTCAGATCCAAGCGACATTTGCAGTTCGAGGAAGGCGAGTTCCCGAGAATTTTTAATGTAAGGTGTCCAACCATGGATTGAGATCAAGATCAAAGTTTCGTCCATCAGCCTAAGCTCTGGGACCATGAAACCCTTGGGTCTGGAGTCTGGCAACATGGGAGCCCTGAGCTGGCGAGCACCAAGACGGGGCTCCAGGTGCAACTTCGGGGTTCTTCAGGAGAGCTTCCATTAGGTACCACAGGTTTCAGGCTGGTCAAGGGATCTAGCCTTCGAAGGTCACCCTCTCTAGTCTATTTGTAACACAACCTCCTCTTGATCCAGGCTTATGCCCATACCGTAAGCACACCTGAAATTTCCCCAGACATTATCACGTGCTTCCTGCGATTTCACAGCGAAGCGATGCCGGATGCCTTGGCTTGAACAAGACGAACGTGTACCGCGATGCACTGCCCAAGTAATGCATGTCGTCGTTTTCTGAGGTATAAAGGCCTGCGCAACATCACCCAAACAGGCCGGGATGCTCAGGTGCTCAACGCCGAGTAGCTCTTGATAAAGCCCCTTCTAATGGAAACATGACTGAGATGCTGTGCATGATCAAGTGCTGCAAGTGTCATCACTTTGCCTTTACATCTTGTCTCCATGACTCTCCAGGCGCACTTGGCGGCAAGCCTACTTTCGGGTCTCACAGATGCAAACTGCTCAGTTGCGGAAACACTGAAACAGGTCCAGGTCTCGGCAAAAGCACCAGGGTGCGATTCAACGCATGGATGCAAGCTAAGAGAGTAGCTTCCGGAAGGCATCCGACGGCGTCACTGCCTTGTCCTGCAAAGTGCATGGAGTAAAGCAAATGCAATCTGCACATCTCTCGCCCTAGATCCAGGTGGAGATGCCTCATGTAGATGAAGTATCTTTTATCTAGCTGAAACCCTTCAGTAATCTTGAGACACTTGCCACCTTCCACCTGCAATTCCTGAAGCCCAAGCTCAAGCACCATTTGCACCCTTAGATGCTGCAACCCATACGCAAAGAGAGAAGTACAGCCAGCTTTATGAGCATGGGTTTTGCCACATCGTGAAATCTTGATGCCTGAACAAGACATATCTGATCAAAGATAAGCCGCCAAGCCATCAATAAGACGTTTAAGTTCTTCAACACATTGTATCCTAGGTGTTCACGTAAGCAAGGCTGAGGGTTCATGAAAACATTTGAAACGCTGCCGTCGAAGCAAGATATGGATTCTGCTTTTTGTGGGACAGAGAAATGAGCCATCCCGACTTTACAAAACCTTTTCAGCCAGCGGCCTCCACTACAGGCACCGTGGGCAGAGCCTGTCATGATGGAAAACAGTTTGGGGATTTTTTGTGGGGTGGAGGCTCGGATGCTTGGGTCCTCAGAGGGGACAGGTAAGAGCGGTCGCTGCAGCCAGGCAAGCATCACGAGGTTCCAGTTGAAGGTAGCTTCCGAGTTTTTCTTTTAAACGTCGCCCAGCAAAACCCTTGAAGCACACCCATGCGTAGGAGCTCCAACCGAATGATACGGTTCAGTAAAACTTCTTGCAATTGATTTCACCCTAGGATGGAAGCCCTCATGCAGCCGTGCAGGCAGGCACACCTTCCATGTTCCCAAATCTAGAAAGGAAAATCCGTAGCTTCAATCTCTGGACCCCGAAACCAAAGCGTGCAGGCAGGTGCCACGAGCTTATGCTGCACCGTGTCGATGGTGTCTTTGAGGCCTTGCAGCCTGCTCTCCATGACTCGGAGCATCTTCAGAGTTTGCACGGTCCTGGGTGACATGGCATGGGCTATGGTAGCCTAGTACATCTGATTCTACCAGCCGGGGAATACAAACTTATACAGCTACAAACGATTGGAGGTTGTAATGCCTTCATCATACACTGCGTCTTGACCTATTATGTCTTCCACGGCTATGCGCATGGGGAGGCCCTTCGCAGTGGAAGCCCGTTTCAGCCCTACTTGTTACTCTGCATGGATTGCTCAGCGGAAAAGTCGTATCTTGAGACTGTGGACACTTGCCAGGGAAGTACTGCCAGTGCTTCCGAAGTCAAGACTACTTTAGAGAATCCGAGACCTGCAAGCCACAAAGGCTGCATTGCAAGCTCAAGGCCAACCGAGCATCTCGAGCGGCACATCGCGAAAGAAGATGTCAAGCAGACCGTCCACCTCACGGCATATGAGCCATCTACAATATTCCTTCTTTCCAAGTGGGCCTCTATGATTGGGGTTATCATTTTTGTGCATTCGCCAAATCGGTTTACAGGGCAAATGTACTTCGAAGAATGAATGTACCTCCGAGCAAGCCAAAATCTCGGATCGGACTCTTTCCTGAGGCCGAGTATTTAGGCTATTGCTCACTCACATGCTGTCAGGTTCTTAGTGGTTCTCAGCTACTCCACGATTTACCAGCAAATTTAGCTGCAGTCTTGAAAAGCCTGACATGCAGGCTTGGGGAGATCAGGGCTTGCAACTGCAAGCAACTTGTGCTTGCAAGCCGGTCATCAGGTTGGAGTAATGAAAAGCAGTGTTCCACTACGCTACAGATGTTAGACTGCTACGGCTACGTCCATGCGATAACGTGATTGGAATTTTGCTCGCTGATACAAGCACGCATTGAACCTGTGTGCGCATGGTCTTGATTGAAAACCTGTTTCTAGGTGTATGTACTTAGCTCCTGGCGAACTCTTCTTGTGAAAGCTCGCCCCCGCCATCAACATCCAGGACTTCGAAAATCTCCTGTCAAAACTGGGTCTGGAGATAATAGGCTCCAACACCTAATCAGGCTTCCAGACATATGACATTGCTAGGTAAGGGGCCTCTAGAGGGTTCCCGGCAACCCTCACGCGTGCGTGATTGAGCTTTATTGAAAGCTAAAATGACTGCAGCTCCGGAAAAAGGAGTAGCTGAATTGCTGCAGCCTCCCAGCTCTGCTTCATGCTGTGCCTCGTAGTTGCCTTTTCTATGCTATCTCAACACTCTGCAAAGCTTAACACCACTCCTGGAGGCCTTTTGAACCTAGGAAAACTGAGATTTTGAATAACCTAGACATGGAGTCTCTGCTTAACATTATTTATAGCCAGCTCATTACACAGCTTGACGGTCCTTTACTTTGGACTTCCTGAAATGAAAAATCATCCCCTCGAACCTTCCTCATGCAATCTTTGCCACAATGCACTGGACCTTCCAACTAAGTCTATTCACACCACCGTGCATGCTGCGCCTGCATGCTGCCGACGGAATTCTTTTCGAAGAACTCTTTGGGTATGACGTCCATTGGCACTGCTTCTATCTCCTTTCCCGGGGGTGTCACATCGAAGCTGAACCGTTTGTAGATAACGGGCTGGATGCCCTTTACCAACACGAGATAAGCTCGAGCCACACTCTGGCCCCAGACATGTACACCGAACGTGTTCTTCGAAATCATCTTGAAGTGACAAAGGTCGAAGCAAAGCTCAAAACCATGCCTGCATTACAGATTACTATGTCAAGCAACACGCTTCTGAAGAGCTGCATCATCTTGCTCACGGTCATATTGCTGCCGATCAACACGGGCAGAACATTGCGGTAAAATGTGATCAAACTGCATACGCACCTTTCGACGTTTCGGCAATTAAGATTAGGGTTTAGGGTGTAGTTGCAATGATGCAACGCAGACATCCTAATTCAAGTCCTCATCCATGCAGCCACGAGTTGTCATAGCCCGTTCAACGTTCCAACTAAGACAACCCAACAGCAATACCATCAACAAATGTCCCAAGAATGGCGGGTCATTCTGCGGCCGTGTCCTCTAATGTCACATTTCCATCGCCGTTGGCATCCATCGCGGCAAAGACCTCCCTCAACCTTGGAACCTTGGCGGTCAGGCGCTCATCATCAAAATCTTAGGCTTCAGAACAAAAGGCGACGACTACGTGCTAACAAACAGTAGCAGTATCTGGAACGACGAGTAGTCATTACATCGACTGACACCAAAGTTGGAGAAACCCCAATAATCATAGTGACATGCGCCAAAATGCTGATATTCCTACCAGTTGTCACCTCCATCACAACCACATCTACAGCCACAGCCAAAGCCAAAGTAATTATTAGCCTCGACCATTTCCACAAACAAACATGACAACTGCAGCAACTGCCCCCGAGATGACAATCATACGCTTGCCAACCAACCTCTATCCGCCGCGCAAAGCAGTGGAGCGAGGCCCGGATCATTATGCGGTTGAGTCGGAGCTCCCCAAACAGGGTGCGTTGACGTTAAAACGTGGGTGTTGACAGTATTTGGGTGGCTCAGAGGTGGTTATTGCAGTTGCAGCTTGAGCGCGAGCATCTCAACATCTCCTCCCCTAAATTCCTGCACTCGCCTGCACTACAAGTGCTACTCTCGTCTCGTTGCTTTCAATGTTGAATGGACGCTCTGCCTAGTTGCCAGACAGAGGCAAGATAAGAATTTGGCAAAGGCTTGCCGTCATTTCTTCAAGTGTCCGAGGTGCAGAGTCGATGGGGGGTGTGGGTTTCAGCTTAAACCTAAGAGAGTTTGGAGCTTCACTACAAATGTCCTGGAATCTATTCCAAACATGAAGCTGGGAACATGTCAGCATCCTGAAGGCCTGTGGCACTTGGCACTTACTGACATGTCAGCATCCAGCCAAGCTGGCATCAGAAATGTGCGGACGAGCATTCGGCGAACGGATACACTACCTCAACATTGATCCATGCCTTCCAACCCTGGAATCTGCAACTGATGGTCGTCAGGAGCAAAGGCTTTGACTGCCACCACCAGCAGGACCGCTACCAACGCCATAACAACCGCCACTGCCCCCCAACCCACGAACGCCCTGACCGACCCGACCGCCATCTCAGACCAACCGAGCACTAACCAGCACCAGGACAGCACCAGCCCTACAACAGGCACTGCCACAAATGGTGAATTTGGACGAGTACATTACGAATACAAGTGCTAGCCTGCAGGTTGAGGAAATTGCTAGATAAATGAGGGTGGTGGCCATAGAAGTTTAAGCTTGTTCCACATCTTTTAACCTTTGAATGCAAATGGCTAACGACACGAGCCATTTCTGAAGGTATGGTGTATCTACTTTGACCTTACGCAACCAGTTCGCTGGAGTAGCCATCCGGTGCAGTGCTTCGGAAGGCTTTAGGTCCAAGAGCGGCTCAGGGTCTCGACGCCGAGAGGTGCCAGCTTCAACCATTCGGAAGCCCAAAGCAAACCAGAAATGTGAACGGCAATGATAAGAACAAGCAGCCGCTTCCTTGAGCTTCTCCTGCAGGTTGAGCTTATCTGCCTCTCTGTCATGAGCTGCATTCTCCAGAGCACCTTCAACCAAGACAGCCTCAGATGCAGCACGATCTGGTTTCCTGGATCTCCGGCTGTGAATTCAAGCTTGTCATCTGGTTGTGAGTGCCATTAGCTACGACCAAGCTTTCGACTAAGGAATATTGTGAAAGAAACAAGAAAACAAACTCTGGCTACGCGCATATTAGATTCCTCAAAACTGGTGGCCCGGGGAGAAATAATTGTTTGAGATTTCGGACTACCAGTTTGCCGAAGAGGCAGGACAAGTGGCCAGCTGTCTCTCAGGATTCTAATGTTTCAAAAGTCTGTTGCGGAGGGGTGATCCGAGCCGGAGCCTCTTGATTCAGACTTGGGGCTGCGGTAGGTCAAAGCAGGCATTCCAAAGCCCTCCCAACCCTTGCAAGGCCAGTTTTGCGGTATCGGAACCCACCCCACCAGATACATTCCACCTGACACACTCCAGAATGATCGCGAAGGTTGCCCTTTTGCAGAGGCTTGGAATGTGTTCCAGACTGGGCAGCTAAACATCGAGTTGAGGCTGTAAAGGGTAGGTTAAGAAGTACATATCTCAGACACTGGAGACTTCAAATAGTTTTCTTTATATAGGTTTGCCTGTCAAATGTATATTGCGTACACAAAGCTGCACAAAGTTCTTATGCTTTACCTGGCGGCCGTCACCAGGTTCATGAGGGCAATCGAAACAATCAAGATGATGGCCTTATAGGCGAAAACTCCATCATCATGGTTTTAGCTGCGGGTCTTCGCATCTGACAAGCTGAGGCAACCGCAAAGAAATATAGGGCAAGTATCGGCTTTTCTTTTATCAAAGGCGCATAGATATATGCAACCTCAGGCAGCAAAGACTTCAAGTTCCTGCTTCCGCAAAGAATTTCTATGCATGATGACAACTGCCAATTCCATGCTGGCATTGTGGCTGAGTCCACGGTGACGAACTGCACCAAGGTCAGCATGGAAACAAAGACGGAAATGAAGTGGGTGTCCACGATCAGCTTAATCTCTGCTATTTCCAGAAGATTCTCATCTTTCGTGATCAGCTCCTGAGCTCCAAAAAATACAAACAAAGGGGAGCTTTCAATACGCCATGCCTGGAATTGAAGCTAACCCTAAGTCACAGTCATGTGCTGAAAAATCGGGAACAGCCCTGCAGGCCTGTCAGGCGTCTTGAGCCTATCCAACAAAGAACAAAAACCTGCCCTTCAAAACTTCTGTCAAGCTTCAACACCCAAGCATGCAAAGACGTACAGCGTCAACAGTATGAGCGCCAGCGTTGAAAACATAGCCTTGCTGGGACGGGACTCAAGGCTGGGCATGACATGCTCAACTCAAAAATCTCAAGAAGGCCAGTAATCATTAGTCTGAAACGAAACCCATCAAACACACCCAGCAGATAAAGGCAACTGCGGCTTGTCTGCTGAATCTTTAAAATTGAGGATTCAAGGCACAAGCCTTCGATAGGGCTAGCTACTGGCTGAAGAGGTTGATTCACGATTCCCATGTAGTTGCCCTGACACAATCAACCCAGTGGCATTGTGCGATGTCAGCAGGCCATACACCAGTCTCCACACGGTTCCTCGACAGTCTTGGGTAACAAGCTGTAGCATGAGACTGACTGCTGACTCTCTACAGCATTGCTGTCCTTCGCGACCGGATCAGGATCAAGCGCAAAACGTGCAATCTACCCTATGGTCTGTTTCAGCTGACCAAACTGCCATCCCAATGCAACAACCAGGGAATAGAATCTCCAAAACATTCCCTTCCAGGACCTGTAAGGAAAATGTGTTTCCCCAAAGGGAGGAAAAGCTGTTGACCATGCGATGAACTTATTCCATGGTCTGGTAAAGGAAATCCAGGTTTTGTTCGAGACAGGTGTGTTTCCTAGAGATCTTTAGAAAAAAATCTGCCCCAAGGCGCTGAAGTACTTCAGCATCCGGAGCGCCCGGATGAGACGCAGAAGCCGCATGGCACGAACCTCAAGTCAAAGACAGGAGCTAGCCACAGAACGTAAAACAACTCTCAAAGTTTTCCTTCATGCGTTGAATCTGCTCCTGAAAAAATATAGAAACACATCTACCAAACAATACAACCCAAAGCCTCCCTGCAATCTAGGAAAAGGCACCACCAACACGGACTCGAGAAGGCCCAGGTCACCACCGGAACCAAACCTTTGAGTTCAGGAGCTTCAGGTTTAGGATTAGCTTTCAGAGCCTCGCGCTTGGGAAACAGGAGCCTGCAAGGTAAGTTTTGGGCTGAGGGCCAAAGTGTCAGGCTGGGGCTGTGGGATCACAGGATGATTCGGGGGGACGCTTTGATTGGCCAGCAGGGAACCTGCGGATACAAAAGGGTTTTGCTTAGATCCTGGAGATCCCTATTCAGGACTGTATAGGGACGATTTTGAAGAGCTCATTTGGCCCCAAGATATTCCAAACCTTGAATCTAAACCTTGACCTTAGCCCCATTTTAGGGATTCAGATGGATGGCGGGGACTGGGATTTAGGATGTAGCATTTAGGATTTAGAATTTAAGGTAGGATTTAAGGTCTCGGGGCCAGGGATGAGGTTTAGCTTTTGGGATTTGAGGGTTTGATTAAACTTGTTCAACCATGAAGTCCTACGCGCTGAGCGGCCATTATCTTGAATGTTCTTGAGGTGGCATGAATAATTGTCATCTTAATCCATACTACTCGCAGGTATGCACCGAAATGTAAGATTTTACTCAGCAACCACAAGGCAAAGCCACAAAGTCTGAGCCCAAAACCTCCCTGGACTCCAAACCCTAAAGCCCCAAACCCTCACATCCTAAACCCTGAACAACCTCACGCCAAACCCTTAACCTTAAACCCTAAACTATCAACCATAAACCCTGAACACTCAAACTATTCAAGCCAAAGCAATAAATCCATAATAAACTGCATATAACGCTGCATAATCCCACTGGTAGGGTCCTAGAACACCCTGCACCTATGATTTCCGTCTAATTTTAATACCTATATAATCCCAGTACGAGAGTTCAGGCGTGTGAGGGTTTGGGGGTTTAAGGTTTGGCTTCTGGTGGTGAGGTATAGGCTTGCGTAATCCTGTCAGGCTGGGGTTCAGACGTATGAGGGCTTTAAGGGGGTGTAAGGGTCTCTAGGCTTTGCAAGGCTTCCACCAGGAACCAAAATGTCCGGAAAAAAAGATACACTCGACTTTGCAACAAAACCACCCACTGCGGACCTTATCCTGATCACATGAACCTGTCCAAATGCCAGAAATCTCCAGCTGCCCCAAACCCATAGCCCATATATAGACACTTCCAAGCTGCATCAGCACGAACACTGTGACAATGCCCAGGACAACCTCTGCAGGAGTGTTGACCTACCAACCGAAACTTGCTTACCCGCACAGTCATCTGGGTACTAGGTGTTACGCACTGCAGCCGGGACCTGCCACACTGCACACTGACTCGGGACTTCTGGGAACTCAAATCGTTTGCCATAGAAAGAGAACTGTTTTCAAGATTGCGGAGGTTTCAAACCTACGCCAGTGACCGCCATGCTCAGGTGCGGCCGCGGCTACCGAGTTCGCAGCTACACAAATGCAAAACCCAAGAGGCTTTCGCCAAAGTCGAGGCCCACCAGGAGCACTCTTAACCCTTTTGGCCATCAGGAATACATTTAATGGGTTCAAATGATTCAAAACAACAATGCAGTTTGCGGCCTGGCAGCCAGTGTAAAATCCAAAAGGAACCATCCATCGCAAAAACACTGTCGCCAGCCCATACCAATCAGCCGCATGCACAGCTCAATAAAATACAGTGCTATGAAGCCTGTGTCCAGAGGCTGCATCCAATCCACATCCTGGCCAACCAGACTGAGCTGAACCTCAATGCCAACGAGAAGTGAGTTGAACAGGATTACGCATCCAATGGCATAGTCGAACCATCGGCTGGAAACGATGCGTAAACATAGCCTTGGCTGAGCTAGCCATCTGAACTGGTACATGCTGGCTAGAAGGCACGTCCTCCTCAGTTTATGGAGCAAAGCGGGATCCAGCAAGCCTATTCATGCGGGGATTGTCCTGCTGCGCACCCCTCTGTAACAGTTGCTCTAGTATCTCTAGCAACGTCTATGATCAAATCTTAACCACTGGTGAAATGGAGTCTGCAAGAAACGCTCTCAGCCGCAAAAACCAGCTAAACTGCAAGCCAGTGATGCTTCAAAGCATCACGGCTGAAATCTTCTCCCAACCAAAAATGGAATTCCGCTACCATGAGCATGGAGTCCTCAATTTGTTCAATGGACATGTGCTGTTTGTCCTACATTCTCAATATCCCCACTCCCTAAACGCCGGGCAACCTTAGGATCCAAGGCTCGCAAGGCCGCAAGATCTAGCAGAGGATAATGAATTGAGAACGGAGAACGCAATTCCCTGAAGCCATGAACCCACTAGCCTGCTGCCCTTTGACACCGGGAAATATGCACGGAATCCATCGTCCCAGCTCGCTCGCTCTTTGGACTTCCCTGAGGACCAGCAAGCGCCGGGGGCTGGATGACGTAAACAGGACTTGTAAAGTTTTGAAGGGCACAACTGGATCTGAGTGTTCCGAACTGGTTGGTGTTCAGCGAATTGCCTCACCAACTTTGAGAGTTGTCTATAAGCACAAAAAAAGTGCTCCAAGGCTTGAGTGGTGTGGGTGCGAACAGGCAGCGCTGTAGCTTGCATTCATTTGGCATTTGCCTGCACTCCAATCCCCAATACAACACCCTGCATGCAAATACCTTGCTCAGGTGGGTAGCTTCCATATCAACTCCCGCAGGGAAGCCCATGAGACCCCCATAACTTGTAGGAGTGGTGTTCCGCACTTATAAACTACCCACCCAGAATGGGCCTCAACCGAAGTCCCTACATGTTGGACGATGCTTGAAGCTCCTCATGAACCGAACATATACAGACTGCCATGCTCTTAGCCCCTGCAGCGCCTGGCTTCTTGACTTCCGCCTGCATCAAGGCTTGATACCGCCTGGCCAGCGCTGCTGATTCGGGATAAAGTCGGAGCTGGCATTCGATTCATTAAAGTGTCGCTCAGTGTTAACGTCCACAACACTAGTCTGCCAAATGCTGAAAAGAGCCGACCCATAGAATTGCCTTCTCAGGCATGCAAACTCAGAACCCACATCCTGAACCCAAGCCGAGACGCACGCACCGGAGCACAAACGTGAAACATGAGCCCTAACCAGCGTATGCTCTGTGCCCCTTTCTTACAACATCTTCATCCCGATTCTTCTGTGCAAACAAGCGGCTTGTGGTGGGCACCCGCCCGGGGCGGTTCGGTCCCACCCTGAATGACACTACATCCAAGTTAGGGAAGTGTACATCATTGCCAGCAAGGCAATGACTGTCCTGGCTTGTCTCTCCAGTTTTTCCAAAGCTGACTGTGGGCTCAGTGTGAAAGACAATTCAGCCAAGTCAATGTAACTGTGGGATTCTATCTGGATCAAACTGTATCTGGGGTCAGGGTGGATGTGCCTGATCTTAACGAGCTCATTGCGCCCGGCTTGCTTGGAAACGCGCAAGCCCCCAAAAATCGGCTCACCTCTGCATGTTCGCCACGAGCACGTGGCAACATGTAATCTTGCTAGCCAATACATTCTGCATCCTTCATAGGCAGTGCTCCCTAGTCCAATCAACCATAGCTGCGCTGCATCTCTTCCCAGGGCCTACACTGTTTCTAGGTTTGCAGCCCTCACCCAACCCTTGCACCTGGTCATGAAACCTAGTCCACGCCATTGGCATTACTCACTAGGCATCCAAAATTCCTGGTACAAAACTTCGCCGCAAAAGACAACGTGTAGACTGCAACTTCCCTAGAAGATCCGCACCGCCCAGGTCCAACACAATAGTAAAGAAAACAGCTCTTGCAAGTTGCAGTGAGCATCTGACGCCTGGCACAAAAACTGAGCTCTACACACATGTTCCGATAAGCCAAATCCGAGGAGCCGTGGCTGGCTTCTGATTCATGTCTGGAAGCAGGGCAGGAGACTTTTCCTGCAGTGGCAGCGTCAATCATCATTGAGGGAGGCAACCGCTACCGGCAGGCACTCACGCATAGGGTTGCACGGTGCAGTGATCCGGAACCTTGTTCAAAGTCCCACTTCCCATGATGTGTTCATGAACAGCATCAACATCACGGTCATGACTACCATCATGACCACCTTCGTCCTTATCATGAACATTCTGATTTTAAGCAAGGGTAATCGTGTTTCCTAATCATCCTTTGGCATTATGTGTCTTGCTTTCACGTCCTCCAAAATCAATGGAGCCGGCATAGCAGCACCCACCTTTCAGTTGCAGAGTCTTGAGCGTGTATGCATCAGTTTGGGAACCCAATTACTGCATTGTTGATTATGCTGGGGACGAGTACTCTAACAATATCAAAAACATGAGGTCGCCTTGACAATAGTGGAGGTACAGCAATAACATGATACTGGAAGCCTCAATCAACCTCATGGATTTCATGGCTTTGCTGGCAGCAAGGGTGATCGAACTAGCACGCAGGTAACCATGATCTAGCAGTGGCCTCCCTCCGACTCCCTGAATTGCCCCGCTTCACTTTACAATATGAATGTTGACAAGATCTTTAGTATTAGGGCGAGGAAGCAGAACGCCTCATCCTGGGTTCCTTCTAGTGACTAGTGGCTTTGGCAGGCCATACATGAAAGTGGGAGTACTCCCCTATTGGAGCTCACATCAATGGCCAGGGGACATCACTCCATCAATTACAGGTGACGGCCCTATGATCAGGAACTTCCCCTCGTCAAGAAGAAAAACTTATGGTATCTAAAAAGAGCCTCCCAAACCTTGTACCCGTGAAGACTCAACAGAATCTCAAGAGCCGTTGCACAGCTTACCATTGATAAGCCGTGCCTCCTTGTGTTGTGTGGGAGGATCCTGAGACTGTGTGACAGGGTCCTCTCTCACAACAATGCACGCTAGTGTACGGCAGGACCACAGTCCCAGAAATCAGATGAGGACTTCAATCTAATTAGCAAAAGCCGCCAGGCGCTCTTAGAGCAAGAGTCCGCATATCTGCCGCACAGCTTTTGAATGTTGATGGCTCATATCCAGGACTCTATGAGCTGAACTTCCCTTTAGCTCAACTGGACAGCTGCTGTGGAATACCACAGCAGACGGGCTGGTTTCTAGCTTCCTTACATGTATGATCCATGATGGTTAAGCTTGCATATTGCCCCAGCTGCCAGGACTGTCATCCCGCTGCAAATGTGTTGTACTACAATTTCCCGTCTTCAGCAGATCGCAATTCATGCCCAGTCCAGTCGAAATGGCTGCTCTGGAGTCCTCTATAGGCACCAAGCGCACACCGTGAGAACCCTCAACTTGATTCAATCATCCATCAAAAAACTACTCAATACCAATAGTCAAACAGCACAACCACACGATCCTAGCAAAATTCGGTGACGTTGATTTGTCATACGTGACAGCTTGTGCACACCCAGATCAAGGCGAGGGTCTGCGAGTTGCTTCTGTAGGGCTTTGCCTCCCAACTGCAGCAGGTCAACCTCTTCTATCAGGGCAGCCGTCATTGCCAGAGCCTGTTCCTGAACGGAAGGATTCTAGAGGATCTCTAGAGGAATTCTATTGGAATGATTTACTTAGGCAATCTATTACAATTAGGAACTTATGTGTCCACTTTTGACAGATCTTCGGTGAAGACACTATGAAGCGATCAGTTCTTGTTGAGAAAACGGAGGGTACAGGCACTCTGAAACACCCAGCAAATCAGGAATTACTCGAGCTCTCTGCTTTAGGGTTTTGGCAAAGGGTTGAAGGTAGAGGGATTTTAGGGCTTTCGGGGTCAGGGCTTGGCATATTGTGCCGTTCAACTATCTGGGGTGCGCAGAATTCTTATTAAGCGCTCACAGGTTGAGGGCTTGGGGCCTAGAAGCGTAGGCCCATGGGGACTTTACGTTCGGGATTTCAGAAGTAGAGTTTTGTTGCAACTTTCGGCCTGTAATCTTTACGGCTCCATGAGGCGTGTTTGGGCTGAGTTTTCCCAACTCTTCGGACTTCCGCCTGCGCACAGCACACGGGGTTTGGCCTTTATCTGGTTAACGAGGTGTCGGATCTATGGCTTACGGTGCATCTTTAGGTCTGGTCTAAGGTTTAGGATGCATTTCATGGCGGCCGGCTTTGACAAGGCTCGGGATTCAGCGCTTTTCCGTTTTAGCGCGGCTCCGTGCTTACGGGTCTTCGGGGATCTGGGACAAACCAGTGAACATTTTTGGCGACTTTTCCTTGGATATGTTGCGTTCTATGGGTTGAGGCGGCAACACTTAGCACATTTCCAAAAGAACATCCAGATCGATCATTTCCAAACAGTTCAAGGCTCCTGCTGAAGGTGCAGCGCAGAGAGCGACAGTCTCATCTGCAAGAAGCTGGAGCCCTGCTTGTTTGAACGCTCCTCCGCAAATTTCACGTCCGCGGGCGTGAAGGCACTCTGCTCAAGAGCCTCAAACAATCTGCAAAGCACACCAGCAGAGAGCAAACAAAAATTTCACGAAGTAGAATCGTCAAAACTGCCACCAAAGGATGCCATCAGACCACTCAAATTTCCGCCAACACTAAACCAATGACTGTTGCGAGTACCCCCTGGACACAATCATTTTACAAGTATCATTATCATTGTCACGATTTGGCCCATGCCGAATCACACGAATAATTAGCCAAAGGCACCGGCTGGGCCAAGATTCGGTCGGGCTTTGCAGGTGCCGCATCTGAGCAGCATGCCAGTCTCATGCGCTCCTCAGCTGAATAACAATTTTCTGAGACACACAACAAACTGGATTTACGTCTCCACTCAAAGCTTGCTTCTAGCGCCCAGTCTCGGGGCCGGACCCCGGGAAGCTGTCTGCTAACTTTGATCCACAAGGAAAGCTGCAACAATGGGTCTGTCAATCCTTTTAATCGTCCACGTCCGTTTCAC